TTGCTACATTTGGTGTAGCTATTTGAATAACCTAGGTATCAAATAAAATAAACTGTAGTGACAGTTTATTTAATTTATCTACATAATCTACATAGAACTCTTCAGCAGAAGATAGACAAGACTAATAAAATCTGATCTTTAGCCCACAGTGAAAATTTTCTAGTTAAATTGGAAACTTTCAGTGTGTGCAGTTATGTGCTTCAAGAAAGATCCGTGGGAAGAAGATTGTAATCTTACTGAAATATTTCAAAGTAGCAAGGGCAATCACAGTGCCTACAAGAGAGAAAACTAGACTGTTCTCTTGGGCTTGGTCATCTTTCCCAGAAAACTTTATTTTTTGAAAAACGTATTGACAAATTATTACCAACACTTATAAAGACAAATGAAATCCTTGGAGGAAAGTATCATTTGAATCTGTTTTCTTCCTTTCTTCTTCACTGTTATCATTTTTAGTAATACATATAACTTCTGCATTCATCCAATTCTGAAAGAGGATCCAAACCAACCTTAAGTAAGATTCAATTCAATCTTCGTGAATGGATCTATAGAGTTACACAGAATGCGTTATAATAGAGTTAAGCAATTTATGACAGCTGCAAAGAGTTTGAGAGTTTGAAGATTTTAATTTTGTTAATTCAATATTATCTTTGGGTAATAAAAGCCTATCGTTTCATAAGCAAAACAGCAGACACCCAACAAGTTTGTCTTGAAGAATTATAAATAAAGTGTCTTCAAAGTATGGACTTCTCTTCTCCAAGCTGTTTAAGGACTACTCCAGAGAAAAACAAAGCTTGGTATTCAAGAGAAGTAATTCCCACAAGTCTTCTGTAGTCCACACATACTTTGAATGAAATCTCTTGACAAATTTTAATACCAGACAACTGTCTTACTTGTGAATTTCTTTCTTTCTAACCATTTTTAAAGTACCATTCCAAATCATGAAGATAATATTTTTGAGCTAACTTCTGATCTACCTATATATCAGTATATCTTGTAAATTTTCTGCTAATTCTGTTCTATTCTTGAAAGTATTTGCTTCTCATACATCTTTTTAAAATACATATATACACATTAAAACCTCTTCTTCAATAAGCAATCATGTGAATAACATTAAAAAAAAACAACCAACCCTAAATATCTAGCATTTCTGTGCTAGAGAGTTTGTTTTGACTAGAGGTTTTATTTTGTTTCTTTTAAACCCAGTGATTAGCCTAAAATCCATACTTTTTTTTTTTTTTTTTTTTCCTAAGTGTTTTGAAAAATAGAAGTGCAAGAGTAACATTGGACTCATTCAGCAAACTGAGCTGTTCTGTAGGCATCCAGCTGAGGAAAGAACAGCAGTCATGTTGACTAATTTCACTGCTTTTCCATTAGGTATCCCAGCAGAATAGGACAGGCTGCCTACAGATTACTGCTGCAAAGAACATGGGAGAGTTTTGGACTGCACCCTAAATTTCAAGCAACTAGGCAACAGAGAGGACTTCGCAGATCTAACTGATCTGTCTTCAGCTTGGGGTAAGTATAAATTCTTATATTATAAGTTACCCACTTAAAATATTAGCTCTGAAAATCAACTGTATTGTGACTGTAGGTTAAACTTATTCTGGATTACCAAGAAAGCACTAAGCCACATTTCAAGGGGATTGTCCTCTGATGGAATCTCACTGTTACAGTTTTATCCTTATTAGATTTTTAGAAAAGAGCAGCATTTCAGGCACAGACCTCTCCCACCTCCCTCAAATCTAACATGTGCTGAAGACTAAGTTTTCAGGTGTCACTTTTACATTAGTTCTTGTAGGTTCAGCAGCAATTGCAAAGTTGCTCCTGCCCTTTCATCCTGTGTTAGCTGGGAACTGAAGAGTGTGGATATCTATTTTTTGGTAGCTGTGTATGAGGGCATACTTTAGGTACACGGAGTGGGTTGAGTCACCCTGCTACAGAATAGAAGCCGTGTACTCATTCAAGTGCATATCCTAGGATCACTGGTAGGTAAGAAATCTAGCCCTGGTCTTTCCCATGTCATCTGTGTTTTTATGAGAGAGGAATAATATGCACATAATTTCCCATGATGCTGACTATCTATTTGCCTGCCTAAAGATCTTTCTATTTCAACAATCTCTATCCCTCCAATTTTGAGGCTGGGAAGAAAGAAATTGTACTGCTCAGGTAATAGCATTTTGCAATATAGAGTCAATTTTCTCTGAAATCTGCCAAAATGGGAGATGATGGGAAGGTGATTTTTTTTTTTTAAGGGAGCCAAAACATCAAAATAAAATGATTTTTATCCCTTACATATAGTGCTTTTCATGGCATGTTTCTTCTTTTGTGACTGGTGTAGTGTTTTAATGGTACTACTGATTGAAGATTTAAGAATATTGAATTTCAGACAAAGTTATAATACAACGTGTATATATAATTGTAATATATGAATAAAGGAATGCTGTGAGATAAATACAATCTAAGACAAAGACAAGGAGATCTAGTATATGAAAGAAAGAAAAAAATCTTTCCTGTGAAATAAGCCTTGGAAATAAATACCTTGCTGACATTTCTTTGTGTCTTATTCAAGCAGAATAAAACTAAAATAATCTAACATGCCTGTAGGCTGCCCCAGCGTGAACCGTAGAAATGTGGAAGGGATTATGTCCTAACTGTGTTTTCTTTTGCTTCTTTTCAAAGATACAAAAGCAGCTCATTCTAGTTTTTGATAAGTCTTTTGGTAAAATAAATACTTTTGAAGTAGAATGCACTTTCTCTTAAATACTTTTTATGTGATTCAAGATATGAGTGAAGGGGCAAACACAGCTGCAAATACTGACCTTGGAAAAACCATTTGATGAGCCACGTAAAAATACAACTATCATTTGTGGGGAAAAAAGCTATACATGAGTTTCCCTCTTAGGGCATTCTGTGCTGGAGCAATGGTATCAATATTGATGGAAAATATCTATTACTGAATAAAATTAGTTTTTTTTCATAGCAGAGGAAAAATTTACTATTTGTCCTTTATAAGTAAATGTCAGTCTTTCTTTGTGAATGGTGGCAAGATGAGAAAATGAGCAACTCATTACAAATTGTCCAGTTTGCTTAGTGTTATATGGAGGTTTGCAAGGTCAGGAAGTTTAAAGAAATTCTGGAATTACTGAACATTGCAAATTCATAGTTGTACCAAATCCTAACTAACTTGACACTGGAAATTGTGTTGCTATGCCTGCATTCTGTGAAATGTCCCACAGACGTTTCTCTCAGTTTCAGGGAGTTGTTGATCATGAAAACCTAACATGTTGATCTTCTAGCAGATAGCTAAGTATAGCCAAAGCTGACATACTGCAAGATTTTGTGCTCCAGACCAGGTAATTTGGCCATAGTCCCTATTTTTCAATGTCTGAAGTTAGAGGTAACATAGAGGTAGACGAACTCTTCCTTGTAAAAACAGGTTTGATCTTTCTTTGTAATTAAAAGATTTTGAACATCTCAAAATGAAGCAGCCATCTGTATTCTGTTCAGCAGTTCTTTTATGAGCATTATACTATTCTTTGTACTACCTGGTATACAGCAGGGAATTCATACTTGCTGCTAAACAATTAAAAACGAGACATTAGTGAAAAATGTTCTGCTGGAAAACACAGCAAGACATCCAAAGTGGTATTCAACTAACAAGTGTTCCTTATAGTACAGTCTATGGAAACTCAGGGCTCCTGCAAGGTATCTGTAGAGTAAAACAAATGCCCGTTTTCTCAAGAATGCTCAGTTATTGTACAGCCTCTCCTCACATGGGCTGGAAGAGACAAGTACAGATGAGTTTCATGAAGTTGTTAAAGCAACAGTTTTTAAAATAGTGTGTGTGTATCTATATAAATATATATATGTATCTCTTTCTTCAGTACTTAAATACTATGATACCTTCTGTCTGAAGCATAGTGATACATACTGAATATATCCCCAAACAGTATGTATTCTGATACATCTGCCTCATCTTAATCTCTTATTCAGTGGTATTGATCATAAAGATTATGTAAGTTATTAGTAGAATTATTCACTCAAGTGAATGTGGAATTTTGCTTGAATGCTGAATATGTAATATTGCCCTAAGTTCTTTGACATTTGCAGTGAATAACCATCTCTCGTTTTTTGTCACAGCAATTTCTGCTGTCAGATTTAGCCATTGTCCTCATATGAAAGCCTCATTTGGCTGTTATGGCTGTTAGTAATGCTCTGCTCAAATTTTGCTTCCTTGCTGGATGATACTTTGTGTGGTCTTCCTCTTTGTACCCTAGAAGGTTCACAGCCCTTTCCAAGATTTTTCTAAGGGATATTTCAGTGATTTAAGGTCCTGCACCAGTAGAGAGGCTGAGGACTGTGTAGGTGGCATACCCTATACAGGATCATGAACATACATATATATACATACACACACACAATATATGTAGTGTAACCTTTTACATTTCCTCCTTACAGTAAGCCTTTTCTCTAGTCATTTCTGGGATAATTAAGTAAAAACTACAGATACATAGCTCTAACATGTAGGTAAGTTGAAGAGCTAATGCAGGAATCTGAAGAGCATGGATTCAGTACAAATTATCTTGTTCCCATTGTTTTAGTATGCCAAATTACTTTTAATTTCAAGATCTGCACATAAATCACTTAATTTATTCTCGTATTTTCCTTATGTTCTCCCATATAACTGTGTTTCTGTGTGTGTGAACACAGAAGACTTCACAGTGAACCACAATACACTTAAGCATCATGTAAAGGCAAACTCTGTACTGAATGGGTCAGTTTAGCAATAAATTTTGATTTACATGAAACTTTTTTTGTCTCCAAAAGAATGAAAAAATCTTTTCCCTTGAAAATTAGCAATGTTTTACAAATTAAAATAGGTAATTCATTTCTGAAAGGTTGTTCTCCTTATGTCGTTAGAAAGGAGTATTTCTACTCCATGCTGAATTGCTGTAATCTCTTGTAAAGTATTTATAAGATGATACATTGCACAAACTTACAGCTTTCCAACTGCATTATACATGTTTGCACATCCATTGGAAAATTTTTGAGATCCATTGGGCAGGACAGTATTAAAGTCAATCTGAAAGAACACAAAAATATATTAAAAATATATCACAAAAACACTGTATAATTGTACAGGTGGAGTGCATAAAAGCAGAGGGAATCATTAGAAAAAGAAAATGTAGTTTTTCATTAGAAAGCTCTTAGAAGGGAGAGTCCCAGTAGAGATGTTTAACTTACATCTAAAAGAATGCAACAACAGCCTGCTTTTTCATGCTACAGTAGAATTATTACTATTATATTGTTACAGTGTTTCAAATCATTGACATTGACCCATAAAATTTACTCAGAATTGCAGGAATTTCATTTCAGATGTCAGTTGCAAATTGTGCTGCCAAAATAATTTGTGTTATTGCTCTAAAATAAGGTGCTTAAATTGTCAACACGAAGATTTAAAATAACATTTCATGATATTAGTGGTAGACTACATATTCCCATAAATTTGAAAGGTGGTTGTGTTTTGCATTAGCCATTATATCTCCTCTGAAATGCTTTGCAACCTATAGGAAAAAAGTATTTTTACATATCAACACAATAACTGAGGTGTTAACTGAATAATTTTAAATGTTTCAGAAGTTGTAATAGTTCTTAATGAAATCATGGGAGTTTAAGCATTCTAGTATCACAAGAATATGGTATCCACAAGCATCATGGTCAACATTTGCTCTTACACCTTTAGTGTGGTGTTTTTTTTCACCCCCATTTCATGAGACTGTGAACTTGGTCAGAAGTCTATTAAAGTTGGTATCTGAGTTTGCTTCAGCAGAGTGCTTGTGTTTATAGTCTGTGTTGTATGTATTTGGAGAGAGTAGGGCAAGGAGGAAGGGTTATTCATTCAATCTGCCTGTGTCTCTCAGATTGACTGAATCTGGAGATAATTGATTTAGCTTTATATTTTGCTTTGGTTGAGGGAAGGAAAACTTTTTGCTTTCTTTCAATATTTCTAGTGACAGAATACATGTTGTGACACTGAAGAATGGTTATGTACTTGGACTGGCATACTAAGCTCCTTTTGGATATGAAATGTGTAAGAGCTTTAACCAAACTCTTTGTTCCAACGTAAGCTTGACAGTGTGATGCTCACTTGCACTGGTATATTCATACAAGTCACAAACACTGTATTTTTTTTGTCCTGGTATACAGAGTATTCTTTAGAGTCCTGATGTCTCTTCAAAATGTTTCAATTACCCTTTGACGCAGTATGATGTAAAACCAAATGCTAAGTGGAAAAGAGATGTTATATTTTTCAAAATGAATATTTTTTTTTCAAGTAGGCCAAATCTATACCATGACTATAACATTAGTATACTTATATAAAATTAATTTCCCATTTGATTACATTTTTGAAGGTAACTGTAAGAATGATTTTACTGCTGTTATAGTCTAATGATGTCTGTATTAATAGAAGTGGGGAGAAAAGAACTGGAACAATTGCATCTTGTCAATGCTTAGGTGTGATTGCTGCTTACAGCTTCTTAGAACTTTTCAAAAATTTACTTTCCACTTTTCTTCCCACCTCCTGCAGTAAATGAGCTATTCTTAAAACCTCACACTTCAAGTGGCTCATGTTTACGTGTTGGACTGTGACTGCAATATCCAAAAACAGTGAAAGAGAAATTACATTGGATTGTTATGACATTGGAGGCTACAGTATGTAAAGCTCATACATAGATCTGTTCAGACTGTAGCATTCCAAGCATATATATATATACCATGTACCAGTCTGAGTTCTTCTAGGGCTCAGTATCTGTGATTTAAATTGGGAATGATGCTTTTCTTATTATTTTTACTAAAACTACTTCAAATTAGAGATCTCTTTCTATTTTTGCATTAAAAATGAACAGTAATTATGATAAAATTCAATATTCAGAGTTCATGTTTACTTTAGTAATTGAACTGCATGACTAGAAACTGAAAATAGCTGTTAACTTAGATATACTTATGAACTTCTCTATGAAAAAAAATCATGTGATTAGAGACTCACCTGATGGAATAAAGTACATTTCCATTTTTGAAAATTCTTAACAACTTATTATCCGTTGTAACTTCATGAAAGTTGGCACCTTTTTCATTAGCAAAGAACAAATCTGGTTTCCAAATTGAATCCAGCATGGATGGATCTAAGTCTAAAGAGTCATCTGGATATTCACTGTATGCAAGACGTGGATCATTCCAATTCTGACGGAGAAAGATGTTCACTCGGTAATCCTGAATGAAAGAGAAAACAAGCAAATTTTATCAAGCATAGGGATTTAGCTTTTATTTCATTTCTTAGCCATGTAATCCCCTGTCCATCTGTGGATGACAAAAGAATTACTTAGCTGATTGTCAGAATGATACCTATTTGTATCAGTGAGGTCACAGTGGATAAGCATAATTTCAAGATAATTGAAAAAATCCAAAGATAAGGAAATCTGACTTCTATGTAGTCTGTATCATTCCACATAACTTTAAGCCTTCCACAGCGTTTTCTTGAAATGGAAATGACAGAAGCATGCAGAAAGTTTAATGGCATAATCTTTTCCTGTTCAACTTCCCTCTCCTAGATAGTGAGTCAGTCTGTTCAGCTGTAAGGGAACCTCAGTTCACACCTTCTCGCTCTCATCCTTACATATTTTAGACATACCACTTAAGTGTTTCTGTGCCTCAGCTCCCTTCTGAACAATTCTGTGAGAGCAGTACGTTTCTTTGTCTGAGGAGGATGTATTTGTTTCTCTTCTGTTCAGATGTGGTAGAGAGTTTACAAAGGCTACTCCAAAAGCTATACTTCCTATTTCTTCAAGTTGGCCCATCACATCAGAGGCAGATGTTGTTAGAGGGTGGCAGTAGGGATTGAACCTTCCCACCAGTATTCCATGACTTGTTGCTGTGTGACAGATGGCAGCAGAGCAGCTCTCTGACAGAACGGCAACTGAATGGAAGTGTGCATGAAGCAAAGGTGTGTCACTGAATTCCTCCATGTAGAAAAAATGGCACCACAGACATTCACTGCTTGCTGAATGTTTATGGAGACCAAACAGTGAATGTGAGAACAGTGAGGTGCTGGGTGGTGCATTTCAGCAGTTGTGATAGCAACAGTGGAATGAATGGATTTCTTATACAACTAGGGGCTGCTTATTAGGTGTGAAACAGAATAAATGAATATATAGCAAGAAAAGGAAAATAGAGGAAGATAAATGGAGGAATCTATTCCATGTTATGTAACATTGTCAATTTGCCCAAACTGAGTCAAAGTAAATTGTTTTAAATTGTTTCCAGACATTAAGGTGAAAAAAATCCAATTTAAGTTGTACCGAAGCGATTTTTCTTTCCTTCTTCCCTGAAAAGTCTGTCTTAAATTGCCTCTCATTACCAAAAAAAAAAAAAAAAAAAAAGGAAAACCAAGAAAAACCCTTAATCTATTAAAAAGATATACACTTGAATACTACCACATGAAAAAAAAGCATTCATTGATTTAACTTGTAATTATACCTTGTGAACACAGTAGTAACTTGCTTTAAACAAGTAGGGTTGTTTGATGCCAACACAGTGAACAGAATTAAACTGCCCAAATTGATTTGCTTTCCTGCAAGAGGATTACTACATCTGTGTGCTACTTGTACAGAGGGGTAACTCCTAACTCAAATTATTCTGTTCTGAGAAGGTTCTTTTGTGGGGGGAGAGAAGCCATCATTTAAGCTGTGTGATTTCCTTATGACCTCAAGGCTGCCATTATCAAACAGCTGCTGTGACCTGGTTGTGCAGAATGAGGCTGATTTCTGGGTCTGCGCTTGCTCCACTGTCTGTCAAAACTCACATTCACAGAATGAACTTTCTTATATGGTAGGATATTGGTCATCTGCTTCACAGGCACAATAAAATTTACACATGGACATCAAGTAGCTGCTCTTTGCTATTTATACTGAGACCAAGACTGTTATTGGCTCCAGTACAAGTGTTTGATTAGCAATTTACAGCACACAGTGAAATCTAAAATATTTACAGAATATTTTTATTTCTTCTTCTTTATACTGATACACGTAGACTTACATTTCCCTAGTACATGGAATGTGGGATACTTCTAGATTCCAGAGACAGATATATTTAAAAAAATTTCCAAAATATGCACTTTATCTGAGTAATTCAGATTACCTGCTCTTGTAATTTTTGAATACTGTCATTTGGTCCAGCACATTTTCACGTTGTGTAAAATCTAAATTTGTCTTTTGCATAATGAAGTCAATTGATACTTGCTTTATTTGTTCTAGGTCACTATGGAATTTTAACATGAAAATCTGTACTTTCCAAGAAAGTTGCTAGGAGTAAATACAGTGCCCTTATGAGAAATGCCATTCTTTTGAAGAATATTTAAATTTCGACTCATTATGAATTTCAGTTCTTGTTGGTGAAAGTTCTGCCTTGAAAAATACATAAGCTTCTTGTGAAATCATAAAAATCACATACAAAACTGATGTATTTGCTAATGGATGAAATATAAAATGTAAAGACTCATTGGAAAATGTTTTTATAAATTAATTAACTATATGTATTGCAAGCACTTGAAAATCAGGCCCCATCTTTCTAAGTTATACGTGTGCATAGGGCAATAGGTTACAACGGTTATATTTCTGCCTTCCTAGGTTTCTACATCTGTTGCTAACAGCTCAGTTTTACATAATGCTGGAAGAGCTTTTTGCACGTGATGGAGTGGATTAGAATTTACTTTATTACAATAGATGCTGAATTTGATCCTTAGTACCGAAGAATTTATCACAGATCTAAATAGAGCTGTTCCCATTAAAGCTGAAGTCAGGGACAAACTGTAGCAGTGTGAACTGCAGTGAGAGGGCAGATCAAGAGGGAACTGGCAAAGGCATGGTGAAGCAGGGAATGAGATAACTGATTAAAAAATATGTTACAAGAGATTGGAATCAATATCAGGGAAAATAAGACCCAAGCAAATATGAATTGAACAAATGAACATTGTTTTGAATGTTTTCAATGTTTTGAAGCATCTCATAGTAAGCTTAAATTTGTAAGCATAGTGAGGTAATGGTTTTACTGAACTTGTGGATCACCGTATGGGGAATGAGACTTCAAACAGTTGTGTGCGTTTGCAACAGGTTAATTACCAGCTTTCAGCATATTTTCCATTTGTTATTCTAATTCTGATGTAATATTATGGTGAAAAAAGAAATACCGGACTAAGTCCACCACTGGCATATAAAAAGGAAAATGTTTATTTTTGGAACCAGAGGAATGCTGCACACTCCACTACAATACTGACCTTGTTACCATGAGAGGAGAGTAAAAACCTTTTTCCCTTTTTTTTTTTTATTTTTCACTTTCTCATATGAGCTTTCCCCAAAATATGCTCTGGCCATAAACACTGTGGCTAAGCTTTAGGTAGCCAAATTACTTTGACTAAATTGATTGAGTTTCCTTAATTCTCCTTTGCATATCTGAAAATTTCAGACTGGTCCAAAAGCTTATTTAGCTAATGATTTCAATATTTCTTTGATGATATTTCTCAGGTACAGAAATTCAAGTATTTAAATTTAAGTAAGTCCCTCATATCAGTAGGTCATTTTTCTTGCAGGTAACCAATATCATTGCAAAATCAAAAGAGAAGAACCTTTGCATTGACATCTAAGAAATGTAAATATCAGTTGTATTAAAGAACCTGAAGAATTCCCTTGTCTTTTCTCCTTCTTAGTAGTTGAAATTCCATGATTGCTGAGATTATTTCTGGTAAGGCCTCGTCTGTAACCATGCATGTTGAAAGAATAGAATAAGTAGAACATTCACAAAAGAATGCTATAGGACCAGAAAGGATAGCCAGTACAGTGAGGGGGAAAAAAGAAAACTTGATTTCTCTAAAGTGGTAATGCAAAGCTGAACAGAAGACTCACTTGCCCTCCAAAATATGTTGAGAAGGAGATACCAGAGGGGGAAATCAGTTTAAATTAGGGACAAAAATATTTATGACAACAAATTTAGAATAGACGGAAATGGCTCATAATTCAACTTATTCTGCTAATAAACATCAGTGATCTTTTCACTGGTATGATCTATTATTGAAAAAAATGGGACTCCTCCCTAGTTTTAATAGGTCTTTCCAGTATTACAGGTCTGAATTGCAGCAAGGCTAGTAGCAATCTATGGATGTAGGACAGTTCAACTAATGAGTGATAAAAAAACTGCAGTAGACTCCGTGCTCCAGCACTAACTGCAACCCATTAATCTGTCAGAGATTTACAATAGCAGCTAAAGAGAAATTAACCATGATCGCTGAGTACTTAACTTTAATTGACACGTCAAATCTGTGTCAGAGTAACAAGATCTGACTAATGTCAAACATCCCTAAGAACATGCTTTTCTGTACTGAATAGCTACAGGGCATTCATTACAAGAAGCAGTGTAGATACACTGTTGCATATGATAGTTTGTCTGACTCACTGAATCTTTTTGACTATCAGTCTTGTAATAATTCTATGATGGAAATGTTATTTCCAGAATGGATTTGGGGAATGAATAAAACTAAGGATAATTTTCCTGCTCCTGGCATACAGAAACCTGAGTCTGGGAGAAACTGGCATATTTTTTCCTCTCCCTCTTAGTAAGAACTCTGAATTTTCCAGCACTGGAGGATTCTTCCCTCGTTAAGAAGAGTCTTCATATTCCTTAGGAGGAAGACACTTTCCTACTGTTTGCCTTGCCAAGACTGTGACTCTTAGGCCTTTGCCTTTACGATTTGCTGTATGAGGTCAAGTATGCAGTTCCCTATGCAGAGATGGAGAGCTTTCCTGTCTGGTCCTGCCTTGAGTTATGCGGCTAAGCACTTTGTTGGCAATTCACCTCTTTAGATCTGAGCCCTCACAGGCTGAGGATGAGCAGTAACACCAGTCTGTTCTTGGATAAAAGCTGTAATCCTACAGTAATTTGAAAATGATGGTTGCCCTTACCCTCTCCATTAAATAGGACAGGCCAGATGGTTTGAGGATTTGGGTGAAGGCTTCTCAGGAAGCTTTAGCTATTCAGAGCTATTCAGAAAAGATTATTGATGGATTTTGGATCACGATCTCTCTCTTTCTCCATCCATAGGTGTATAAAACCACATTTTAAGCTATTTAATGTTTCAATTTTTCTGAGTTTTTTTTTTTTTTTCTTTTCTTTACTATCAAAACTGCCAAGTGTCCAGGTATCCCATTAATAATTTAGTAAATATT